GAACTGCCATTTCCAGAGAGTAGACTTTGGCCTGTTTAGGAATCTGGTTGACAGAGTCCCTTGGGAGGAAGCTCTGAAGGACAAAGGAGTCCAGGAAAGCTGGACATTCTTCAAGAAGAAAATCTTAAAAGTGTAGGAGCAGGCCATCTCCATGTGCCAAAAGATGAGCTGGTGGGCAAGAAGACCGGTCTGGGTGAACAGAGAGCTTTGTCTGAAACTCAGGCTAAAAAAGGAGAATTTATAACCTTTGGAAGAAGGAGCAGGTCACTCAGGAGGACTACAAGGATGTTTTGAAGTTATGTTGAAAGAAAATTAGAAGATCCAAAGCCCAACTAGAACTTAATCTGGCTCCTGATGTAAAAGACAATTAAAAAATGATTCTATAAATATGTAAACAATAAAAGGAGGGCTAAGGAAAATCTCCATCCTTTATTGGATGCAGGAAGAAACATAGTGACAAAGGGTGAGGAAAAGGCTGAGGTGTTCAATGCCTTCTTTGCCTCAATCGTTAATAGTCAGACCAGTTGTTCTTTGGGTTCCCAGCCCACTGAGCTGGAAGACAGGGATGGGGAGCTGAATGGAGCTCCCATTATCCAAGGGAAAATGGTCAGTGACCTGCTACACCACTTAGACACACACAGGTCTAGGAGGCCGGATGAGATCCACCCAAGAGTAGTGGCATAAGTGCTTATCAAGCCACTTTCAATCATTTATCAGCAGTCCTGCCTAACTGGGGAGGTCCCAGACTACAGTAAGGTAGCAATTGTGATACCCATCTCCGAGAAGGGCCTGAAGAAGGACCCAGGGAATGACAGACTGGTCTGACCTTGCTGCTGGGGAAGGTCATGGAGCAGATCATCCCAAGTCCCATCACATGGCACATACAGAACAACCAGGAGATCATGTCCAGCCAGCATGGGCTCATGAAAGGCAGATCCTGCTTGACCAACCTGCTCTTCTGCTATGGCAAGGTGAACTGCTTAGTGGATGAGGGAAAGGCTGTGGATGTTGAGTACCTAGACTTTACTAAAGACTTTGATACCGTTTCCCAAAACATTCTCAGAGAGAACCTGGCTGCTCGTGGTTTGGATGGGTGTATTGTTCACTGGGTAAAAAAATGGCTGGATTGGCCGTAGGGTTTTTTAGGACTCCGTATTAGGGTGAATATCGATGGCTTCAACAAGGGGATTGAGTGGACCTTCAGTCAGTTTGCAGATGACACCAAACTGGGCAGGAGTGTTATCTGCTGGACAGTAGGAAAGGCTCTACAGAGGGATATGAACAGGATGGATCAATTGGTTGAGGCCAATTGTATGGGATTCAAAAAGGCAAAGTGCCAGGTCCTGCATTTGAGTCACAACAACACTGTGTAGGGCTACCGGTTTGGAGATTAGTGGTGGAAAAGGGCCTGGAGGTGATGGTTGACAACCACTGAACATGAGCCTTGAGAAACGGAGTCTCAGAGGAGATCTTACCACTCTCTACAACTACCTAATAGGAGGTTGTAGTAAGTTGGGGGTTAGTCTCTTCTGCCAAGTAACAAATGATAGGACAAGAGGGAATTGCCTCAAGTTGCCAAGGGAGGTTTAGATTGGATATAAGGAGAAATTTCTTCATGAAAAGGGTGTTCAAGCATTGGAACAGGCTGTCCAGGGAAGTGGTGGAGTCTCCATCCCTGGAGGGATGTAAAAAACATGTAGATGTGGCACTTATGAACATGGGTAAGGGGTGAACTCAGCAGTGGCAGGTTAACAGTTGGACTTGATGATCTTACAGGTCTCTTCCAAGCTAAATGATTCTGTGATTATTTATAAACTTTATCTGTGAATAAAACCATGAATTTTACCTGGTACTAAGTGGCCTACATCCTTGCAGTTCTGTCTTAAATAAAGCAGACCTTGAAAACCCATGGGCATTTAAATACCCAATACTTTGAGCACAGGCTGAACTGAAATGCAGTTTTAAGTCCATGCAGTCTTTCAACTCCATCTTTTTTTTCTGAAAGGAATTCAGCTGCCTGGTAGCTAGCCTACCACTATAGTTTGTGCCATTTCTCTCCCTCCAGCCCAGATCTACTTTTCTTGCCTTCAAAAATGTGACATAAACAGAAAAAAATCCTCAGATTACAATGGTTCAAGCCACCAAATAGTTTAAAATTATCTAAATCAATCAACTTAAGTTTTATCTGCAATGGGTACTCACCCAAAAGTAGTTCCTACTGAGGTCAAATGCCTCGGTTACATTAACATTGTCCTTGGTGCAGTTTGCAGGTGGATCCCCCAACTGTCCAACTTACTATGCTTGAGTTCATTTACACCATTGAGTGATTTGAACAAGATAAATTTCTTTTCAGATTAAGTCCAGACCAAAGGAGAAAATCCCCTACACTTCAAACAGGGGAGACATAAAGCTCCCAGACAAACCAGCTCTGACCTACATATTCACTCCCACAGTGCCAAACCCCTGCTTAAAACAGACACAGTCAAAGGAAGTTTTGATGTGTTCCATCTGATGACAGTCTTATACCCGTGAAGCCAAACAAATGTTCATTTTACAAAATTAGAGTAGATTTTAAAGTTAAATAATTAGCTATATGAAATAAATTTTTTGTACTTCTTAAAAAAGAATAGAACTTCTTGAAAACACAAATGCTGCTTTGAGAAGGTCACTAATTTCTGCACAATGTAAATGGGAAATGCCCTCACTTATTCAACTTCTTCAGGAATTCTACATTTTATGTACATATATGTATTCTTCCAAATGATAGGGGAAATTTTCATTTGATCCAATTTTTATTATTTTCCCGTTGATATATATTAATTTCTTTCCTTCGTCAGACTGCCTTTGGCTTACTGTCATGCAGTCACCCGCATGCATCTCTCCGTAGTAGCTGTTGCTTTTTTTTCATGCTCTCATGTAGCATGCATCCACTCACAGCACAGAAAATGCAGTGCTTTAAAGATCCTCAGAGTGGAGCTCATCCACAGCCTACCAGAAATGTAGGATCAGGAACTAACACCTTGGTGCAAGGTCACTCCAATTCCCTCCCACTGTTTTTCTCTCTCTGTTTTATACCAAAGGGAATTCAACAATACAATCTTAAGTGGAGTCTTCAGACTATACCATTAGCTTATTGAGTAACTGCACCTGCTTTTAAATTTTAATGATGCATTTTTAATATGATAAATGTATTATACTTCAATGGGTTTATATGCAGGTTGAATAAACTATGAGTTTTGTTACTCTTCAAATATTACTTTCCAAAGAACGTCCTTATAATTGTATAGCTCGTGTAGTTGCACATGTTCCTGGTAGTCTTAAAATGACTGTGGTTCTGTACCAGTGAACACAAGCTACTTTTGACTGCAAATGGAAGTTAATTTTTTTGTTAACTTCTGAGCCATACCACCTAGAGTTAGGCTTATAAAGTGTTTAATCTATATGGCTGCTAGGGGAGGAAGAAGAGTTTTTTTCCTGTTGGCTGGTTACAACAGGATTCAGTAAAAAAAAATGCTTCCAACATTTTGTTTGAACTGAGTTGCTGGAAAGTGTTTGGGATATTCATAAGTATTTTCTTGTACTAGCCAGAAAGTAAAGGAAGGGTTTGAAAAATATCATAAATAGTAGTTACTGATTTTATAGAGAGAAGTGGGTGGCTGTAGTGAATGATGAGAATTTTACCTTTTAATATAACTACCAAATGTACTTGATCACCAAAAGACTGAAGTGCAAGATACAAATATAGGAGTTTGCTCAGGAAATCTATATGTATAAAAGAAAACAGATGAATGTTATTAGTTTTATTTTGCTGTTTCAAGTAAAGTGTATTTGACTTAAGAAATATTTCCAAATAATTGTTACTGAATGCTTTGCTTGTTTAATACAGAACAAATACACTTTATCACAATTTTCTCCACCCTCCCTTGTCAGATTCATTAGTGGTGACCTAGAATACTTCTTCATGGTTCGAATTAGGTTTTGTACTTTTTGCTGATTTTCAATTGTTGATTCTCTTTTAAGAGTTTTAATAAATATGCCGCAGGGATAAAAGTGCTTACTTCTGGACATTTATCTTCAAGGAATTAAACTGAGACCAGAAGCTCAATCTTGTTTTAGTGTAATGAGTTCCAGTTGTTGTGTTTTAGTATGTTTTAATAAGATTAATTGCCTTTTGCCCTGGCTGATTCTTTCCTTCATTCCTGTGGCTAACAAAGAATGGACAGTCACTGAATTACCTGAGCAAGAAATAATATCTAGTGTAGAAATATTATCCAGCTGGCAAAGAACTAATGTTACTGGTTTACACCAGCCTCCAGGCACAAATGGAGTCAAACATCTGTCACACTGCAGCAATTTTCATCTGGCTAATGGGCTGTTGGCTCTATATGCCAACTAGTGTAACCACAACTTACTTTAAAGTATTTCAGACCACTGCAAGATGATTTTCAGAATAAAACGGTCTTAACTAGGTGTTAGTTGTTGTCCTTTCACTGTTTTCTATCAGTAAAGGATGCAATGGAAAATACTTTGACCTTGGTAGGATTCCTTTCCCTTCCTTTCCTTAGAACAGATATAAGATCCCTGCATGAAACATCTTAATTCATGAATGTCTGCAGTGGTTGAACATTTGGCAGTAGTTGCATTTAACTTCTCTTTGAAGTCTACAAGATTAATCATCTCCCAAGTCAAAGTATAAAAGTGACTACAAATGCAATCCCTTTGGTTACCATCAGGCTTTTCATAAGTATATGGTCAGACACTCTATTTGTGGTAGTTTAGTCTAGGCCTTCCTTGGTGACCAGTTTGTAACCAAGGAAGTGCCCAGATTTTCCAAGTATTCCCTACAATTTTTGCATAAGCCAGGGTATAAGAAGAAAGGAGAAGTGGCCTTCGCCCTCTCTTTCCTTCCAGCGGCTTTGGAGGTGCAGGTTCCCTGCTGTTGAGTCTGTCGTTGTTGGGGAGCGAGGCCTGGTAAGGCCTTGTTGACCTTGGGAGACACAGGTTGCCGACAGTCGTTCCAGAGCAACTTTCTGTTGTCCCAAGGAGAGTAGTAAGATAGTCTTTTGCTAATTCTTTTAGTTGCTAGATCTTGGGCTACTGATTGAGATATATATATATTTTTTATTTTGGTTTTGTTCCTTTTTTTCCCTTCCCCCTTCCCTTTCCCTTGTGAAATTGATTACATATTTCAATTGTATATAACTGTAATATAAGTGTAAATATATTTATATATATTGCTTTAGCTGTCTCTCTCTTGTTTCGGTTCTCTTGGGTTTTTTTCTCTTCTCTCTTAGTTTAGTGGGGGGGAGGGAACTTCTTGTGGTGAGGTTTGGAGACTTGGCAGGGAGCCAGCTTCAAACCATGTCACTATTGAATGATGGTGGACAGCAAAATTGCACTCAGTGACACTGATTCACTCCAGCACTTTGGTCATACCTTAACCCTCATTCCTCTCTCTGCAAATTATGTTTTTCTTCTTAAGCTTAGCGGATTAACCCTAAGTCTTTGAGCTGTACACACAAGTGCCACCAAAAATTACAAATTTCTCTAAGTTGTAGCTTCATTCTGAATCACAGCATGAGCAATTTGCAACAGCAGCTGGTCCACTGTGTCTATGATATTGGATTAATTCCCGTCATAAAATGTTCATGGAAATTATGAAGAAGAACATGTGTAGATCATAAGTGTGGGCCTGGTTTGTTCCTGAGAGCTACCTGGTAAAATTTTTCATTATGAACAAAGAAATTAGATTTCACAAACCACTATTTGCAGTTCAAGCTACCTTCTTGCAGGGTTGGAATAAATTGATTTGGGGCAATGAAACCTGTGAGATTAACTCAAATATTCTTCCTTCAAAAGTTTGGATGCAATATCTCTCTGTTTTCCTCCAGCAGCCTTTATATTTTCACACTGTTAATGAATGAGTGCTTAATTGCCACAGCGAATCTGTCTGGGGTTACTTCCCAGCAGTCTCTTGCCAAGACCAGCTGGACTTCTGCTTGTATTCTGCAGCTGATTAGTGGAAGCTGCTAGTGTTAAACATAAATAAATAAAAGACCTACACACCAAAGAAAGCGTGGAGTTCAAGAAATTGTAGAGTTCCCCTGAAGTCAAATAATTTCCTTCAAATTAGAAAAGTTGACAATGGTTCAATACATAACTCCTGATACATCCGTAAGAAATAACCAGCTTTAATCAACCTAAGTGGTTACTGAGTGCTACCATTTCCCCCACAGAAATGTAATGCTTTTCTTTGACTTTAAGGAATCAGAATGGTTTTGTTTTTTTTTTTCCGTCAGTCTTGAAGTGCCACTTTAGAGTAATACCGATATCTGGGTTCTTTTCTGTTTCACAGAAACCAGAACTGTTCAGACTGATTTCTCCCTACAGGGTTGTTTTGGGGGTGTTTTTGTGTCTTAAATATTTAAAGCTTAAACAATCACTTTGATGTGGCTACAAGACACTTAGCTAAAACACTAACATTGCATACCTCAGTTCTCCACTAGATTCAGCTCCATTATTTCTTTTGCATTACATAAGCCCTGGATATCCTTGGGCTTTGTTGGTGTGAGTCATCTCCTCGATAAGATACTTTGTTAGAAGTTCAGTAGAAAAGTGTGGGGGGCTTTTTGTTTTAAAATTAGGCAGGCCTTTTAAAGGCTAACTACATCAAGGAAGAGATTACATGAACTACAGGTGTACATCACATACATGATAATTTTAAAGATAACAGCTACATATTAGAGCTACTGATTAAGTTGTAGGTAGATTTCAGTGTAAGTATGTGACTGAACAAAGAAGATACAACGTATCAATACGAGTGCTGATTTATCCCTGACCTGCACAAGTAAACTGCAGAAGGCCTACCTGTAATCTTTGAGTTATGTTAGTACAACACCAATGCTTTCACCAAGAGAAATTCTCTGCTAGGAGATATAAACTATAACAAGTGTCAACGAAGTGTATGTATCTACTGATTTTAAGGCCAAGTGAATGAAAGGAACAGCTTTGATTTCAAAGAAAGAAGTTGCCTTAATGCCTGAATGTGGCCATTATGGAGCTATTTCTCAAGCCTGTTTTCTGGCAGGAAGTGTCCCATAGTTCTCCCTATTATAAGCAGAATGTCTTTTTCATTTTTCCCAAATGAAAAATGGTGGTTCATCCCACAAGCTGTTGCTTCCTGTGTAGATATCTAACATGTGGTATTTAAAGAAATATTCCTAAAACTGCAGTTCCTGGTTTCTCAGTGGGTTAAACTATTACTAAATTTTATTTGAAAAATTTTTCTGGATAGCTTGACAGCTTTCCCAGTGGGATGGGGATCCTCAGAATCCTGGCCTTTCTCTACCACAGAGCATTCAAACCCTGGGAGGGACAATGGGATATGCATCTATAATTCTGAAGAAGAAATGTCAGGAGGGATCCTTTGACAAGTCTTGCAGACTGCCTGACATCCCCTCTGCTAGTTCCTCCCAGACAGACTGGTGTGCCTGTACTACATAGCACTGATGTATGGGTGTGTCCCAGCAGAAAGTATCCAAAATTGTGTTAAATCTTCATTATGGTTCTCTATAGCAGTATTTTAACTAAAAGAAAAGTGTTTGAAATGAGATCATGTCTCATCTTTCAAGTGGTAAGGCCAGTTGGGATGGTGTTGGAGGACTACATAAAATGGAAGAATCTGGTCCTGGCCCAGATTTGCCCATTCTGCCTTTCAAGAACAGCCAGTGTTGTCTTGTCTTCAGACAGTGCCTATGCTTCATCTGCAAGAGCTAGTGAAGCTGTGTAGAGCCATGGCAGGGTATGAGCTAGAAGTTAAATTGAATGGTGCGTATGTGGTGATATAATATTCAAACTATATTCCTTCTCATCTTTTATTTTGCAATATAAATATTCCCTTCAGTCTGTGACTCTGAGGAAGCATAGATATTGCAGTCTCTGAATTGTATGCTCTATACCTTTGAGATCAATGGATGCAGGTGTGAAGTCTGTAAGGCACATATTTTCAGAAACAGCATGTTTTAATGCCTGTGCACCAACATTTCTATCAGAATTTCTCATTCATATGATATTTGGAAAATTTGGATATTTGGTAGTCTTTAAATTGAAATTTAAAAAATGGAAGCTCTATTTGCCAATAAATATTGAAAGTACAGGGGAGATTTCCCATTTTTCTGTGTTTATTAAGAGACCATATTTTTTGAGTATAGATTTTGAAATATAAAAGGTAAGACTATAGGGCTCAATCTTTTAATTTGCATTTATACAAAGTGCTTAGTTGTAAGAATGATCACATTTAGTCAGTGGTTTTCTGGGAAACACGGATGTTGCAGGGTGATATTGTTGCTTTACATAACTACTTACTTTTACAAGCTCTTGAATTTTCCAGAAAGAGTAACATTTTAAGCTATCATGTTAAAAATTGTCCTATTACATTAATCAAAAAATATTTTAAAGTGATATTGAGTTGCTTACTGTAAGCATACCTGCTCATATGGTTATGTTACTGTAATTTGAACTGTAATTAACAATGAATAATGTCAGATGAGACTAATTCATGTGTAAATTTAGCAACTTAAACCACCAGGTGCTTTAAAAAATCATCTGGCTTCCTTTAGTGGTTTTGATGCTACTGGTGAGATTCTTCTCCACTTTCATTTGTTAGTAACTTCACCTATAGTTACAGTGAAAGTGAGAGGTGTCTTTGAAGAGTGATTCATTCCAGCCTAAGATGGGTGTCTAAAACAGATTGGATGAATTATCCTCTAGTAGTGTCTATCCCTTCACAGACTAATGAAGAGATAGGTAGCTCTCAACTTTTGATCTTGGAAAGGCAAATAAAAAACCCAAGACTATTGCCAGCAGAATTGCTGACAGGAGGATTCATACTGCTTTTGGAAAATCTGTGAGATCCACAAGCTGAAAGAAGTTTAAAATTGTAAATGGAGTCTGGATGACACACTAAGACTGAGCGCCTGCATTTGGAGTTCTGAATATAGTGGGAAATACTGATTTATACCCAATTGCTATACCTTGTTGCTTCTCTGTGAAAAATTAAGGATGGTCTTTTGGGAAAAGTAAAATATTGAGAACCCATTGTAAGCTTTTTACTGAAAATAAATGGGATATTGGGGAGATCTTCACTTGTTATACTAGTAAATGGTCTATAAGTCACTTAGATCTTACTGGGACTTCTGCCAGTACAATACATCATTCTTTTTAATTAAAATACTAGTTCTACTCAAAAGCACTAAAACCCATCAAAAATTTCAAAAAATCTTGTCCTTGTTAATGTGAAATGGTACTTCACCTGAATCAGAGATGTGATTTTGTCCATGTTATCATCCCAACCAGAAAAGATAATGTTGCATAAGGCATAAGTTTATACACGTGTATTAAAATATATATGAATATATGATTTATTCAAGATGTATTTAGAAGAACCATATTATCATATTTAAGCAGATTCTCTAATTTTTAAGACTGAGTTATGCAATATTTCTTCCCATAAACTCACTCTTTAAATAAACAATTTATAAAGCAGTTGTCTTATGAACTGTGTTCTGATAAGTTTGTTTAGACACAACAGTTTTCATAACTGTCACTGCACATTGAGTTTCTTATATTTGCTTTGGACAGCAAACTGCCAACTACCTGCAAACGCTAGCAACTTCATACAATTTGTTTTGGCAAAAGGTCACCATGCAGAAAATTTTCTGTAAGATGTGGCAAGTCAGATTTCTACATACTATCCTCACTGGAACTAAGGCTCGAGATTGTTGTTTCTATAATACTCATCAAAGCTAGAGCAACAAAGAAAGAAATGCTAGTCAGGTTGCTCTACTCTTTCTTTCACTATTAAAGTTTACTGCACTGTTTAATTTCTGATCATGTTAAAGTCCCATGTAGCTCCTACAGTTAAGTTAGATCTGATCATAGGAAGAGAACGTTAAGTCAGATTTCAATCTCAGTTGCATTCAGAACAATTCCACCAAGTCAATATATTTACTTTTATGTAAATGGTTCAGATTCAGATTCTTATCATTTGGTTTTATTTTTGGAAGGAAAATTTAGGAGTCCACATTGACAACCCATAACCTTTCTTTTATCTGTACATCACTGCAGAATTAAGTGCTGTTTTCTATTCTCTGTTGTTATGGCAGCATGTTTTTCAAGATATTGTATTAACCTGTCTCCTACAGATTCTACTGGTTTTTCCTATAAAAAGCCTTGTAAATAGATATGAGATCTATGTCCAATTTGAGGTGTATCATATTAAAGAGATGGATACCATGAACTGCACGCAAAAGCATCCAGATGCTGATACTGACATTTTCGTATTCTCTTGTTCTTCTTTTAAGTTTTATTCCCCAATACTTTACCAGCATTTTTTGAGTCAGAGTTCTGTGTTGTCCAAAATACTCTACCCACACAAAAACACAAAAATGCATCTGGCAGTCTTGCCCCCAGTATAATACTCTTCCCTCCATACTTAAATGTGGATCTAAAGCAGATTTTAGACCTTTCAGTGAATGCTTTGCTGTACACAGAGTCAGAAAAAGACACCAAGAACCGACCATATGTGAGTCCAAAATACACTGTAACCCATGGAACAGAGCTTCCCCGGCAATATGGAAAATGATGTTATCTTACAACAAAATTATGAACCACTTAAACACAAGAGCAGCAAGGCCCTGAGATTTGCTGGTTCAGAAGGAATCAAGAAATCCTCCATATGCACATATTTTAAGGAAGTGCATTGATTAGATCATTGTTCTGACACTGACACTGCAGACATTTATAGTCATGAGTTACTTAATGTATAAATGGCACATTGCCATTAATGACAACATTCACAAACATGCTTTTTTTTTCCCCTTTATTTTTTTTTTGCTCATCTCTCTATTTCAGATACTGAACCATTTACAACACCAAAGAAGCATAGAACTGGAAGGCAGAGAACAGTAGCCTCAGACCTCCTGGTTAGGGCTCTTTCTGGGAAAGTTGGTGATACAACTTTGAGCTGAGCTTATTAAATGTTAATCAAGTTACCCTTTTGTCTTTGTGTAACAGGCTCATACTCCTACACCCATTCACAGATGCCTGTTCCCAGTCCCAGTCAGGATTTCTTTCCCCTCAAAGTCAACACACTCAACTGTGTTGTTGCTGTGAAAGCAAAAAACTTGTGAAGGAGTCATAGGACAGGGAAAAGAATTACATGGAGATGGAAGGAGAAGGTGTTTTGGCCAACGATAAAACAAATGTTTCTGTAAATAGCAAACTCACCTCGGACTTCTACACCTTCCTGTTCTTTTCTTTGTCCAGTCAGGCTTCAATCTACTACTTAGGCCAACAGATGAACTGCTCACTTGACAGTTCTCTAACTAAGAAAGAAATCTTTCAGGGAGAAGGTCAGAGGAATGTATTTTTCTTCATTGCTTTGAAACTGGTGGCTAGTTGTGCCTACAAGGCAAAATGACAATCCTGACATCATTACTCTGAACCTTCTCAAACTGAAGCAGTGAGTGAGTTAGGACTCTTCTAGTTACTAAACTGTAAGATGAAATTGCACTTACCATCAGTAGTATCTAGAAATAAAAGGGTGCCTTGTCCATAATTCTTTGAAACAAAGAACACTGACACTGATTTTCTGAGGCAAGTTCTGACTCTGGATTTCCAGTGAACAGAAATGAGATTCCCAGTGGACATAAATACTTTTCTGGAGGTCTATATGATGTATGTACTCCCCAGCAGTCTTGCTGATAGCCATTATTTTGAACTAGAATTCAAGGATCTGACTGTTAAGATTAAATGATTTGCTGATGGATAGTAACTGTGCTAGAAAAATAAGAACGTAGGTTAGAATTAGTTGTCTTCCTTGTTCTTCCTGTCATTGCATTCCAGAATGAAATATCAAAGTAAACCTTAGAAGTCAAATCCCAGTAGTGCTGGGAGTTATGTCTCTACTGTAAAAGCAACAGAGATGGAACAAACACAGGCTTTCATGAAAGTCTAGGGTGAAGGTTGTATTCCTGGCTCATCGCATCATTTTGTTTCTTCCATTTTTTTTTTTTACTTTATGTTTCCATGTCCTTCAAAGGAGTATGTTTTATTGGCTATATGTTAGGAGTCAGACCAATGTGTTAGGAGTCAGTCCACAAGCTTCTTGTGGACTTGCTGTTCAGGGAAGCAACTTACAATCTTCCACATGCTACTCGTAAGATGCGTTACTAGTACTTATTTATAGCAACAGATAAAGCTAAGCTAAGCTGCAAAGTGTGTTGATATTCTTGACTAAAAGGTGCTGCACAAAATGCAAATTACTACTGTTTCTCTTCTCTTCATCATGACACCTCTTGGCTCCAATTTTAACACAGTATGCTCTTCTGTCTCTTCTTACAATTGTGTTATATTGTTCTCCTTGCTCCCTCCTACCACCTCATTTTTCCTTCCACATCAAGAAGCCTTTCTCAGTAATAGTTCTGGCATTTGGGCATAAGGAGTGTGCCCCACTCAGAAACATAATAATATTATATCGCTCTAAAATGTGGTTATCTTTGGTTCAGCTCTGGATGTCATTTACAATAGTTCAATAGAATATTCAGTAGAATAGATGATGATGGGTCTGATTCTTTTCACTTGTGTCAGACCTATTCTAATGTAACTCCATTGCCCCCAATAGCATTCAGCTGATCTTAAATGAGTAGTAATAGAATAAATATAGCTGAGATTTTTTTAAGCATCCATAGCAGATCAAGTGTACCACATCAGTGGACTGCACATTTTTGTCATTAACAGTCAAAACTGTGAGGCCTCTGTGGAACTCTACAGCCTCTAAAGGCCTATATAAAACACATAAGCACCTAAGATAAAACAATGAAGATATTAATTTATCAAAATTGGGCAAAGAGAATTTGCCAGTTTCGGGGCGTACTGTAAGACCTTATCTACTGCCAAAGCATTCCCATTTTTACAAATAAGGGCACTGCTAATACAACATATTTCCTGTAACTTCTTTCCATGGGGAGTAGCTTAGAAACATAGGGGAGCAAGAAAATTCCTGGTGTTGCTTCACAGTTTTCCTGACATAGAGGCACTAACCTGAGCAGGAATAGTGATCCAGATACGAAGATTCTTGCTAGGTTTGCATCAAATTATTTCCAACAGCATTTACTATTTACATAACACTACTAAAATATTTTTAGATGCTCTGTCCAAATAAATTTGTCACTGTGATCTCAGTGAAATCACTTTTTTTTCTTTCCGAAGAAATTTGCAAAAAGTTTTCTAATTCTTAGAGATAGAAGTAAAGAGATCTAAAACTATTAATTACTAAACAGAAAAAAGAAGCAACCTAAGAAATTAGAATATAAGTAATCAAAATATTCAAAGCCACCTTTTGTTTTTTAATGAAAGACTCCTTGAAACAGCAATAACAATGTAGACTTGGGCTAGAGAGGTCACACTGAACTCACGGAATTTTTTTTAGACATTACTACCATGGCAGATAAGAGAAATTCAGTGCATGTACTATACTTAGATTTTAAAAAGGCAGCTGACAAGATTCTATACCAGAGATAAATTTCTTAGCTACGGTCATCGAATGACAAGAATAATAGGGTAATGGACAAAACACTGGCATAATAGCAGAACACAAAAAGATACCTGAATATAGATGTTTCATCCTATTAAAGAAGAAAAAGATGGATTAAATATATAAAATAAGAACAAATTTGAAGACTAGTCCTCTAGATCTCCCAGACTGGATGGTGTGCATGATTACAAAAGGGAAACCAAACATTGAATGAATCAATTTTTGTGCTTACTCCTCAGAGAGCTGAAGGTGTGTAGATCTGTCAAGGATGGTCACACTGATTGAATTTAGATCTGTTGTGCCTGTATTATTGGACCAAGGTAGCACTTATGATGAGAGATAAACAGTTTTTTTAGCAAAGATTAAAAAGTCTTCTAAGCTGTCGGTGATTTTAATGTCTGGCAAACAATGACTAACAGAGGGTGCTTCCAACTCCCCCTGTACATCACAGAGAAATGATAGGCATCAGAGTTCTTCCTGGGAGCAAGGAATGAGGAAGAAGAAGTGGGTCTGAGTCAAAGGAAAGCTGAGCCACCAAAGCCATGAAGCAAGCAATATGTTTACAAGCAAATTGAGATACAAACTCTGTATAGTTTCTGGAACATAGAGTAGGGGGAAAGAAAGTCCGTAGCATGGATGAAAGATTGTCTGACTCCCTTCCTCCAAATGCTACTCTGCAAAGCTCTGGATAACCCTGTATGGTATTATGTTTTTATTAACTAGTCCTAAGTGGTAGAGGTTCTGAAAACATGTAAGTAAAAGCATTCTAGGAGTACTGTGAAAAATAAAAAGGATAATTATTATAAAAATGGTACTCTCAAAGCTCTCAAAGCATTTTTTATTAAATCAAAATTATACTGATGTAACATTAAGAATGAGATTTTAACTGAAATGTTTAAACCAAAGGTTTCTTCAAGAAACCCTCACACTGTTCCCATGAGTATATGCATAACAATAGATTCTTTCATTGTGTACTGAATTTTTGCATCAGACACTGAATAATAATTATTTTCCACTGTAGCTTCACCCCAGCCTACCTGGAGTTTCACAACACCACAGAAGAAAGCTGCTTTCTGAATAGGCAGCTCCTCAAAGAGGCAGTGATCTACCAGATGCTGAGAGGATACACAGAAACATGAGGGAGGGCTTAAGCCAGTATATAGGAGAGAAACCAGATGTGTGAGAAACATTATACAGGCACTGTCAAAAATGAAGAAAGAAATAGCTTGAAGAAGCAGATGGGTGGACAAGGTGACAATAATATCAAATAACAAAACAGACAACAAAATGCCTGGGGGTAGGGGGGGGGGCGTGGAAAGGAAAGAAAAATTCACAATACTTAAAGAGATAAAACCAGGTAAATATGAAAATTTTTGAAAGCAATGAGACACTCATGGGTTTTTCTAAGATGTGTGTATGCAAATTCAAGAAGTATAGCAAAGATGACATCAATAGTAATAATTGTTAGAGCTCTGAAATTATAAGGGTCTCAAACAGGTTAATGACTGTGGTGTACAGCTGCATCTAGAGTTATAGCTGGTCTCAAAATGAAAGGTACAAGTGCCCAGATCCTTTTAGGTACTGTTTAAAAATTTTAAAAAGAGTTATATACTTACATCGATTCAATCTTAATTGATCTACAGAATCTTAAAAGAGGCATAAAAGCATCCATGCACAAAGCTGTATGATTTTATTGATATTATTCAAACATTATTGCTATCTTTAGCATTTAGTTCACATCATGCAAAACTCTTGCATAAATAAACCATAGTTAAGTTGATTTGCAGTTGTTATTAGCTGGTAATGTCTGCATTCAGTTTTCAGCGGATCCTAAAGTTCCACTCACAACACTGCAAATTTTTGAACTGATTTTTCATTTAGGTATTTTCCCTCAAAAATCTCAACAAACAATGGGAGGAAGAAAATGGATACCAGCCTAGAACAGCTTCATTGATAAAATGAACTTGATCTATGTCTGATAAATCTTGATATTCAGGCGAGTGTTTCAATAGCTTTTTCTATGGCTTTACATTTAATTTGCATGAATTAAAATAATTGACCAAGTACAAAGTATATTAGAATCCAAGCTACTATGTCTTTGGAAGGCATAGCATCTTTCGGTAGTATTAGAAAAGGGATCTGTCTAAAGGAAATTCACCTCTTTACAGTACGGAAATTTCAAAATGAATAAAAAGTAGGCAACAACATGGAGGAAAAAGAAGAGTAAGACTAAACAAAAGAAGTTAAAAGGTTGGTTGATTTGCTTTCTTGCACAGTTCCTACACTAATTTTTATCAGAGTGACTTCTGAATTATGTTGTTGTAAAAGAAAGGAGAAAATAGGATAAAGTTAGGATAAATTGACTAATAGGAGCAAGACACCAGTGAAAGAAACAGTAAGGCCTCAAAAAGATAGTGAAAGTAATTTATTGACAGCCTAGGTAAGCATTGCTAAAAATTTTAATGAATTCTGAGCCTCAGTGTTCACAGAGGAGGATTGGGAACAGATGCCAGAAACAGACATAAATTTAACAGCAGAGGTGGAAAGCATACTGAAGAAACTCAAGATCGTGCCAGAAGAGGTGACCTAGAAATTAGAACATTTAAGGACTGACAAAACTAAAGGACCAGAAGGTACACATTTGATGAAGCGTCCCAGAAGAGATAGGGAAACCTTTAGGAAGTTTATTTATAATCTCTTTGGAACTGAAAAGGGCAAAGTAGCACATATTTAAGAAGTGATCTAGCTAAAATCTAGAAAGCTTGACTTGTAAGATGAAAGGTGAACCAAATACTTTGAAAAGTAAAGATATCAATTAACTACATGGATTTTCTAAAGCTGTACAAGGCCATGAGCATGAATTTCAGAATTACTCAGAAGTACATTTCTATCTTAAAACCATATGAATGATTATTTATCTAATAATACCTTTAAGTTCTGTGTTTCCTAAGCTTGGTGCTTTTCCCCTGTTAATGAGCTCTATAACAGGTGATCATTACTAATGTATGTAAACATTGGAGACTTTGCTATACAATTCTAACAATATGAAGACATTGAAAGCATTGGATCATGTACTTTGAGAGAAAAAAAATCTGTAACATGTCAAAGAGAATTAATAATGAAACTGAACCTAAAAATATAGAACAAAAAAAAACCAAACACCAAACCAAACGAACAAAAAAAAAGGAATGAGAGCAAAATGTAAGCTTTACTCCTTCCCCTCTCTGAAGAAGTACTACCATTTGTTTGAGATTTTGTGACCCTGGCAGGACTGGGTTCCCCACATTTCAAGAAAGAGGTGGAGAGGTGTACTGAAAAGAATTCAAATAAAGACCAGAAAGATGATCAAAAGGCTGGGGAACCTGTCTTATGAGAAAAGACTGAAGGAGTTCAATCTTTTCTTCTTGGTGAATAGAAGATACAGGGTGACACCTTCACGGTATTCTAGTACTTAAAGGGCAGCTACAAAGAAGATGGAGGCTCTGTCTTCACAAAGAACAACACAGAGAAGACAAGAAGCAACAACTTCAAGTTTCCTTAGGAGAGGTTTCATCTTGATACAGGAAAAAAATTTTTTATGATGAGAACAATGAGTGAAGTCCTCACTCCTGGAAGTGCAATTAGGTAGGATGCTAAGTAATCTCATCTAGGCTCCCTTTCCCATGAAAGGTTGGACCAGATGATCTTTCAATATCCCTTAAAACCTGAGTTGTTCTGTAATTCTATTCTGTCATGAATTGGTTCATTTGCCATGTCCTTTGGTGGGTTATGGAAATGTGCACTCTTTTGGTAATACTGAGAAAATGCTCACTAATACACATAGCCATATATTCTCTGTTCTGTGTGCTGGAGATGCTTTTGGTATTCTGTGTCACTGCTTCTGGCCATCTGCTTTTCTAAGGCTGAATCTGACATTGCCAGGCATTTTCTCTGCAGTCCAGAATGTCCTAGCCCTGCACCGCTCACCTACAGGATGCTTGAAATGGCTGCAGTTTCCAGTCCACAACTCTCCTTGCTTGACAGCCTTTCTTTAAAAACATAAATCTGATCCCGCATATGATTTCTAAAACTCTGACAATACAAAGTTTCCACTCATTCTTGATTTTATCAAAGGATTTTCCTGTGATATAATCCTCTAATCCAGAAGACTTATGAACTTAATTAAATTCAACAAAAAGAAACTATGACAACTACAGAATTGAGATACTTTGCTTAGTTTGCAAAAAAAGGTTTAAAGAAATTCAAATGGATTAGACAAAAACTACAGAAAAATTATCTCTTGAGTTCCTAGCAAAGGTTTTTCAGAGAACTCAAGAGAAGTTTTCTGCAGGCCTGGTGATCTATGATACTGACAGAATGTTACATTAATGTCCCAAGGATTGACATATATATGTTATAAAGGGTAGTTATAAGTTGTAACAGTTGTGAATGAGGGAAATATCAGACAAGTATAAGGCCAAAGTAACACTAATAAGACATATTTTATTCACCTTATATAAAAGTAACCTGAAACACAAAATGTGCAGTAACAGGCTGAAATTTGATGACTGCACAAAACTTGAAAATAAGTCAAAATGAATAAGGTGGACACTAAAATAAAGAGCAGTTGAAAAGGCTAAGACCAAGGACAGATATATGGTTATGACATAATACAGAAAAATATAAGAGAAAGACACTGAAGATGAAAAGAAAGATTTTCAATTTTCAAACAGCAATACAGAAAATCTAGATGTAGGGAATATATCACGTAAACCTTTGACCCATTGCTTATAAGCAGTAAATTGTAAGAAACTGAAATTAGAGCCACATAAGAAGGCTCGGGAAATGAAATTGAGTGGCAATTATTTGACTGATGTAAAGATATGACCAGCAAAATAGTGCTTTATTGGGCATAAACCTCAAAACTAAAGGGTTAAAAATATGAAATAAGAACATTTTGATAAGTTCTCAGTTCTTTCTTTGGAGAGATTTCATTGAAATTAACAGGTTTCTTCATATATCTACATTAAAAAAAATAAAACTGCCCAAAAAAAAATAGCTTTCACTTGTTTTTAGTTATCATTCTGATTACTTTGACCAATACCTCAGGTAGTTTATGGTAGTATACTGTTCAATTCTGTGAATGTAAATTCACTGAAGTTCATCTTCTGGGAAAAAAAATGCTTACCAAAATGCCCAGAACAAAAGGATAGTCTTTTGGTAAACAGCTGCAGTCAACCTCCTGCCTAATCCACCCAAACTGTTATCACTGTATTTTTGTTGTAGGTCTCCTACCAAGTTGTTCTTTATCAAGAGGTATGCTCAGTTTTGGGACTGCTGCACCAAAGACTAGATTTTCTAAGATCAGAGCATTCTGCCTTCAGTCTGAGAAGCAGAGCTGAGGTCTCTCAGCAGCAGTCAGGAAGGTAGGGAAAGATTTCTCTCTCTGCGACTGATTCTTTCTCTGAAAGTTTCTGGCCTTCTTTCTCCTGTAATGTTTCTGAGTCCACAGAGCCTCAGAACAGCTCATCTTCTGGTTGCCAACTATGTAACTTCCTCTGAAATCCTTTTCTATATATGTGCTTTATTACCTCAACAGTGAATGTGAGGTTTACACTTCTGTTTGATTTCAGTGAGATTATCTTGTGGGCTGGTGGGAGCATCTGATATACATAGCCCAGTACAACTTGAGTGACAGTGGATATTGAGAAATCTGAGATACTCAGCAAGTCCTTCCCCTGAGTCTTCACTGGCAGTCAGGCTTCCCACATCTCTCAAGTCCCTGAACCTCCAGATTGGGGTTGGGGGAAAGAAGTAAACAAAGAGCAGTTTGAGACCATCTGGTGGAAGTGAAAAGGCACAAGTCTCTGGGTCCTGATGTATCACAGGGTCCTGAGGGAACTGGCTGATGTGATTGAAAAGGACCATGGAACATAACCTTGTGGAAGCAATGTTAGTGCACATACAACACAAGGAAGTGATCTGAGACCACCAACGCAGCTTCACTAAGGGCAAATTGTGCCTGACCCACATGCTGCCTTCTATGATGGAGTGACTACAACGGTCAAAAAGGGAAGACTGATCAATGTCATCTACCTAGATTTCTGTAAGACATTTGACACAGTCCCACACAACATCCTTAACACCAAATTGGGCACCTGTGTTTGAAGGGTGGACTATTGGGTGGATAAGGAATTAGCTGTATGGGTGCAACCAGAGAGATATGGTCAATGTCTCTATGTCTAGGTGGAGGACAGTGAACAAATGGTGACTGTCGGGGCTCTGTCCTGGGACTGGTGCTCTTTAAAATCTTTATCAATGACATAGACAAAAAGATTGTGTGCACCCTCAGCAAGTTTGCAAATGACACAGAGCTGAGCAGCGCAGTAGACACAACAGAAAGAAGGGGTGCCATCCAGAGGGACCTGAGAAGTTGGCCCATGAGAACCTCATGAGGTTCAACAAGTCCAGGTGCAAAGTGCTGCTGTGTTAATCCCAGACACGAGTACAGACTGTAAGAAGTCATTGACAGCAACCCTGAGGAGAAGGTGGATGAAAAGATGGCAGTGTGTGTTTGCAGACTTCAGCAGTGTTTCTCCCCCTCTACTCTGCCCTCATGAGACCCCACCTGGACTACAGCTCTGGGGTCCTTAGCATAAGAAAGATGTGGACTTGTTAGCATGGGTATAGAGGAGGGTCACAAAGATAATAAGAGTACTTGACCACCTCTCCTACAAAGACAGGTTGGGAGAGCTGGGGTTGTTCAGCATGGAGAAGAGAAGGTTCTGGGGAGATCTCATTGTTTTCCAGCACTTAAAGGGGGCTTATAAAAAAGGGAGATTCACTTTCTGCATGGGTAGATAGCAGTCAGGCAAGGGGGAACATTTTTAAGCTAAAAGAGGAAAGATTTAGTTTAAATATTAGGAGAAAATTCTCTAATACCAGAGTGGTGAGGCACTGGAACAGGCTGCCCAGGGAATTTGTGGATGCCCCATCCCAGAAGATGTTCAAGGCCT